TCAAATCTCAGGGAGGGGGGCAACATCACCCCAGAGGGCAAGTGCTACAATTGCAATAATGACTAATTTTTTTACCACTATACTTTAAGGAGTTATTTTTACAGAATATTTTCTTTGTCAAGTAGCGCATGTTGCTTGTAGCAGTGTTTTGATTCTTCTGTTCATGTAAGGTTCCCCCCACCATCCCTTGTTACTAACAAGCACTACAGAGCACATGTTCATTAATATAGCCCCACAGAAATTTCTCGTTAGTCTTTTGGTGATGTCCATGTGTGCTTCCTACACACAGCTTAAACATTCTACAATTGTAAAATAAACAATAGGATTACACTCAGTAGTTCTCTCTCCTTCATATGGAATGGCTTTTCTCAGTGAGATGGCCTTTTCTCCTCTGCTGCCTATTATACCCCAAAATCTACTCTAGAGTTTTGGGGACCTTCCAGTGCTTATATGGAAAGATGGAAAGGAAAGTTGGAAGTTCAGTTGCATAAGTAAAAGCTCACACAATGGTGCATTTCATCTATCAAGATTGTTTTGGGGGACTGTTGCATCATTGCATACAACTCCATAAGAACATTGGTAAAATACTACCTGAAAAAAACAGTGCAAATAGGAGCCGTGGAAAGCCTTGAGCAGCAGGGCTATGAGTAGAGAGGGTTTCATTCTCCCCCAACCCCCTCCACACACCCACATACATCCAGTCTCAGTCCTGGTAATCCTGCTTGCTTCTGGGTGCAAAAAAACAACTTCAAGAAGTCAATTTTCATTCAGTCCATTGCAAGATGAAAGATTAAACTGATTGGAGTCTTTCCAACTACTACTACTGTTTTTACTAAAGTGCATGCTATTGGCCAGACCTTGATGGATTTGTTAAACTTTTCAGCAGAACATAGGCAGAGGGAATCCCTTTCTAAGGAAAAGGAACTGCCCATTTTTAGAGAAGTAGGTGCGGGGATTTAAAATTCTGTTGTTACTTTTTAAGGAAACTGTTGTTTTAGACAAAATTCAATGACTTTGGGATAAATCCGAACAGATTTTAGACCACAAAGGAGTCTTGACAGATTGTGAAGGAAATATTTGCTATTATCCCCCCACCAATAACCCCCCTCAACAATTCTTGGTGGACAACATTTATGAAAATCAGAGACGTTGTCGAGGCATCACTCGTCTTTTGAAAAACAAATCCTCTAAATTATAGAAGGATAGATGTATAGCTTAGGCAAGCCACCATCAAAGTTAATTCTGGATTTTTCCCATTCCTAGTTGTTGCCTGTATATAAGATTTCAAAGGAGAAGGTTTGTGAGCCTGAATCTTGCTTGATTATATATTAGTTTATCTTGTACAGTGCACTTAATTCTTTGCAGATGCTTTGAAAATGTTGTTAGTAACTGAACTATTTTTAATTGTTAATTGAGGAATGGAATGGAAAATTGGGGGGTTCTGCAGATTGTTAAAGGAGCAAAATTAAGATTCAGTATGGTCCATCCCACATTTCAGAGAAGAATATAGTAAAACTTCATAAATCACTATAAAGAGAATTTCCAACTTTTCATAACAGTTGAGCAGCGGTGCATGAAAGAGTCTCCTTTGACATATATCTTATGAATGCACTATGTATAAATAAATATATTTGTATGAGGTCAGTGTGGCTTTGGGGGGGGGGCATCAATCAGTTTATATTAAATTCAATTTGTTCAACCACAATATTTTTAGAACTTTAACCTTGGCTTCCAAGATTGTATTACTTTCCCTGCGTCATTTAAAAAAATCTTAGTCTAATGTTTCGAGTTAGTGTTCTAAGCCACAATCCTAATTTACTGACAGCTGCAACTGGTTAGTTTTCAGTCATATCTACCACATCTGAAGCACACTTTGGCTCTTTTCCAAAGTCCTCTTGGATACACAGCTCCAGTCATTCTTGGTTCTGTGCCCAGCAAAGAGCACGATGCTCCCGGATATACTACGATGGGAATATCAAATGCATTTCACATTCTGTACTCTCAGTGGAGTTTTTCCCTAGCTTATGTAGCTTGAATTTCAAAGGAACATTGAGGTTGGGGGGGTGAAAATCACCTCTTAACAGCTAGGCATAGCAAACTCCTAGTGCTAAGCTTGTTACAGTATAACAACAGAGAAACATTGTGTTATTTAACACCATGTCATTGGTAGGCAGAAATAAGTTTGTGCTTTCCCGTTTGGAGAACGTGATTTGAATACGTATTGTCAAGAAGCATAATTTAGAGAGAAATTCTCCTATGTAAGGCCTTGGAAGAACAGAGCAGTAAGGGAGATGCCAACCTTTCCCCTCGTTGGATAAAGGAGTACCAACATGCCCTGATAATATCTATTTTCTGCCATGCCCCCATGACTCTGTTTTCAGCTTGTCCCCTGTCCATGAATGAGATAGCCATAAGTCATTGGGCTGCATCAGTATTGTTTTCCCTTTACATTAATAGCATCAAGCACCAATAGTAAAATATATAATTGAGGTTTTTTTAACCACCCATTATGTCAGAGGGAAAATAGTGAGTGGAATCAGACTGGTGTTATGGGTCACTTCAGGCTGATGCAGATGTGTCCCTTCTCCTCTGGTCCCTGGTAAGCCTCCTGTACCATCAATCTGCAGTTGTCTCTCTAAAGAGCTGGCTGGATTGCGCTGTGCTGGTGGTCTATCAGAATTGTCCAATAGTGCTAGGCTGTTCAATAGGTAAGACAGTAAGTGCTTCAGCTCTATGCTACCTACTAGCTTAGTGCCAGGCAGAAATAGTGACACAGTGGGATGATGGGACTAACCTCCCTCCATGGTATCTCAAAATGAGCATGGAGGAATCTGGAAGTTGATATTCGTTGTCTATATAAAGAAGAGAAAGAAAGATGAAAGAATTTCTAAGGAAAAGTGCTGTACAACTTCTTTGTGACTCTGATCTGGTATTTTAAAAATGTTCAACTTGAGTTACGACGGAATGGGATGTAGAAGAAGCAGCATAGCAAGTTGCCTAGATGTGATGGACCTGCAGCCAGGCTTGCCCCATTCTTGCTGTTATGATTGGTGGATATTTCTCCCACCACTGTCTGGCAAAGGCATCTGTAATGATGAGGAACATGGTGAAATTCATTTCAGCCTTTGCCCCACCACACCTCCACTGCAGATGCTTATGCTGCCTGTTGACCTGCAGAAGAGAACATGCGAATGTGAGAATGGCCCTGACTCCTGAGTGTGGCTTGTGTGTGCAAGCTTCAGGCACCTGGGGGTGAGAGAGTCACCATTGTCACTGTTACAGCTGGATGAGGGGCCTGACCCTTTGGTGGAAATGAAGCCCTGAGCAGATTCCCTGGCACTTGCTGCCAGATACTTTCTTCTCCTCCTGTGGGGAAGAAGCAACTGTGGGACCCTCCTTCCCCTTTTCTCCTGTCTGTCCTCTCTTTCCACAGCCAGGAAGGCTTTTATGCCTGAGCTATCACCACTGCATGGTTCCATCTCATTTGCTCAGAAGCTCTCCTCATGCCACTGATCCTGAATCTGCAGATTTAATCTTTAGAATTTCTAGTTACAAGAACTCATGCATCTCAGTATACTTGAGTGCATGGGTGATTCCTGGAATCTCACCTTTAGGGCCCTATATGACTCTAAGCATGATTATCTGAGGGATCATCTTCTCATCTATTCATCTGCCCATCCAGCCAGGTGAAATAGGGAGTTCCCATCCTCTTGGGACTGTCATTTTCTGGGACCTCAGAGGTGGGCATTCTCTTTGGAACTCCTTCCTAGGATTCAGGAAGACTTATGTGTTCCATCTACCACAGAAGGAGTGTGCTCTTAGGTTGGAAGATATGGTTATTATATTTGTTGGTGTTTATTTTTCTCATTTTTTTTAAACATGCTGATATGTATTTAGGATGTCCTGAGGTATTTTATATGGTTACATTGTTAGCCACCTAGAGCCTGTGGGAATGGGTGGTATATAAGCTAAATAAATAAATAAATAAATAAATAAATAAGGAAGGAAGGAAAGAAGGATGGACGGACGGACTGGATGGGAAACACCTACTGAAGAGGCCTTCTTAGCCAGCACTATGGAACAATCTTCTGCAATGTATTGCATTATGACTCCTGTAATTCTACTCAGCACAGGCAAAGAACATTAAACTTTCTGTCTGTGCTTTCCCACAAATTGTGCTTCCTTGCAGGTAATCTAGCAGCTAACTAATTCATACGTAAGTGATCAAGATAAAAACCCAGTTTAACCAGTTCAAGCAGGAATGGCTTCCCTATACACGATACATTGCACAGCAAGGCAAATACAAACTTTTAGAGTATAGCTTTTAAGGGGGTCTAAATGTTTATAAGCACTGTACATCAGTTGGCGTATAAAAAGGGGGAGTTAGAAATTAAATACCTATCTACTTTTTCCAAGCAGTTCATTTTTTCTTTTTTCCTTTGTATTCTTTTTAAAAATTAATAAGAATACAGTGGAGACTTTAGTATTAAGTATTAAGATCAAAGATCAAAACCTTTCTCATATTATAAAACAATTCAATGCATTTTGCAACCGTTTATCAGTCATACTTAGCATTTGTACAGTTTAAGCAACCGTATGTTCATTACATTTTAGAAATCATATTTAACATTGATACAAACTTTTTTCTCATCTTCAAAGGTTTAATTTATCTAAGTCATCACAGTGTTAACAATTACTAGTTTTTAATTATATAAACACCACTGTACTTAGCTATTATCTGTATTCTATAATGTATAACTCACATTTTATAATGCAATAAAACAATTAACTTGGAGAAAAAATGATAAAAACCCAGGATATGACCTCACATTCTCAGTTCATCAGTTTTGGTACATTGGGCAATCTGAGACCCCAAAGATTTATGCAGCCCTGAAACTCCATTTCTGCCCCCTTGTTTCTCCCTCCCTCCAACTATAACTGCTAGATCTGGCCTGTCATTTTGGGGTGCAAAATGCATAAAAACGGAGATATACCCCTCAAAATGGAGTTAATATTATTTAGAAATAAATAGAATTCAAACTAAGAAAAATAGCAAACCAAAAAAATCCCTCCAACACATCATTGTCCTGTCTACTATGGCTGTCATCCTGCACAAAGAAAGTGTATTGCTTCCCCCAGTTACCAAAAATGTTACCCACTCTGTCATACAATATACGAATGTTGACCTTGTTTTATTTTACAGACTCATTCAAAGATTATGGAGCTTTTATATATGAAGTTCTTTGAATATTCTCAAGTACTATGTATCTCAAGTATATGGCTATGTTTGCAAGGTATCCTTAACTTTACCTTCCTGTTCTTAATTACCCCAATTTTCTGGGTTTGTGTGATTCACCAGACCATGAAGTGACCACAAAGGCTGAATTTGGACAACACGCTAAGCTAAAATGTGTTTGGAGAGTTTGTTTGCAGTCTATTCTGCAAACGTTGCCTGCAAGTATTAAGTAAGGTTCATTCCTATCTGCTAATTATTAGCTGTTAGCAACAGAATACTTTGCAATGGATGGGTTGAACATTTTTGTGGATAGATCCAACTGTACTCTGTTCACAGGGATGTAGCCATGTAGTTTAGGGAAGACACAAATACCATAGCAAGGAAAAAAAGAAAAAATATTAAGGTGAAATGCGGTGGTTTATTAACAACTCTTTGTTCGCTCCACTCGCCAGCTTGCCTTTCTGCTTTTAAAATTAATATTAGCACATTTCAAAACTACAGCACTTTTACCGGGACCCATTTCCAGTTACTGGGAATATGAACTCTGCCTTTCTTCCTTAGATCACCGTCTCTGATGAAGAAGTGAGCAACCCCTCTCTGTTGGATCTCGTTAGGACTCCGCAGATGAGAAAATTCACTTTGATTCTCATGTATGCCTGGTAAGTGTCTCCCAGCCGCACTGCTGCTATGCCTGTCTTGTTCGGTATTTCCCGGGCACGCCCAGCTGTTCAGAAATTTGGAAGCCCCACTGTTTCTTGTTTTGTCTTGCTTTTCAAGGTTCACCAGCGCAGTAGTTTACCAAGGGCTTGTGTTGCGTCTGGGACTCATAGAAGGGAACCTGTATTTGGACTTCTTCATCTCTGCAGTGATAGAATTGCCTTCAGCCTTCTTAATCTTAGCGACCATTGACCGACTTGGCCGGCGTCCCCTCTTTGCCTCAGGAACCCTCGTGGCAGGGGTTGCGTGCTTAATCACAGCATTTTTACCAAAAGGTAACTGGATGGCTTCAGTTTTCTTCTTCTTTTCCCTTTGCTATCTCACCCTGTCTCTCAAAGCACTCAATTTAAACACAAAAGTGTTTTTTAAAAACAGGTTTAAATATCTCCAAATATTTCAGTTTGGTGAAATAAGATGGTGTGTTACTCTTTCAAAAGAACTGCACTGCTTTTTTGAAAATGATGGAAAATAATAGGAGAGGTTTCAGCATTCAACAGTTACACACAGGACTCTTCCACAGACAGCGTGGATGCCAATCTAGCCTCGATGCCCTGTTGGGGGATTCCTGTGAGGTCCTCCTCCTTGAGCAGCCCAGTTGATTTTCTTCCAGCTTGTGGAGTGATAGAATTGCCTTCAGCCTTCTTAATCTTAGCGACCATTGACCGACTTGGCCGGCGTCCCCTCTTTGCCTCAGGAACCCTGTGGCACCAAACTTCCATTCTGCACTTTGTGATTGGAGTTTGGATGGGGGCTGTTTGCTGAGGTGAGCAGATGGAAGACGGATGCAGGCTAACTTCAAAACACCTTAGAGGTATCGGGGAGTGAACAAGTGGAAATGACACCATTTCCAACAGTGCCTGATTGCAGGCCTTGACATTCTTATTTGTTGTATATGCAATGAGAGTATATGCTTAAGTGACTATATAGTATCATGAAGTACTGGAACATAAAAGAATGAGATATCAATGAAGGCCACAGAGCTTGTTTCCCAAGACTGTTGGTTTACAGTTTTATCTTGAGTCAGCTTTTATTAACTGATTGGCATTGATGATCCAAGCATGGACGCTGTGTAAGCACAGAAAGATATGATTTGCCTGTCATTAATAATCTGAGTTCCCAATTCAGACTCTTGAGAACACTTAGATGATTTATCATCAACATGATCAAAGATATCTATAGCCTGTACTAGACCTGTCCCAAACTACAGAGAGAAAAAGGATCATTGGGGTAATGAATGAGATAATGAACTTGCAGAGCTAAATGGAGCCAGGTAAAGGTACCCCAGGAATATCTCGTCCAAGAGAGATCCACTATCATTTCTGAGTACAGCCTGAGGGAATAGAGAGCAAATACCAAGATGCCTAGTGTAGCATAGCCCATCTCCATGTTTGTCTGCAATGACAAGGAAGTTTCAAATACTTCCAGATACCTGTTTGTTAAATCCAAAAGCAACAGTTGCCGGGCAATGTGCTTGAGTCAAGTTTAACTCCTGGTAATTGCTTTCATGCCATTTTCTTGGCAGTATTAAGGAAGCGGTTTGCTACTGTCTCTTTGCGGTATTTTTTTTTTCTTTAGTTCTCAAATCAAGCCAACAGCAAGATCATCAACCACAGGAGGCTCAGTGCTGCCATCTGCCACAGTAAAAGCAACAGTAGCAACTACAAGCCCAGTGATTTGGATATGTCCCTAATGCAATCTGGAACAGGCCCTCTGCAAATGAAGACCAGAAGTCAAGGGGGAAAAAAAAATAGCAAAACACATCAGGTGCCTTTTGGGGAACCTGAGAGTTTATGCATTTTAAAAATAATGTTAATAAAATTGATTAAGGAGTAGGATCTTGATGTCCGGGTCCCAGAGTTAAGTGAATTCCTGTAACATTTCCTTTCTGCATATATCTCAACAGATATACCATGGTTAAGTACAATGGTAGCCATCTTGGCAAGATTGGGGATCACCATCACTTTTGAACTTGTATATCTTGTGAATAGTGAACTGTATCCTACAGTTTTCAGGTAAGTGGAATCTGCATTTTGAACAATTTTCACAAGATCACAGAAAGGATCAGCTTTGCATGTGAAGGCGTTTTAAAAGTAAGAAATAGTCTATGAGCAAGGAAGTGGCTCATAGAGCTGCAGTGCAATCTGATATCTACACACAGATTGAGAAGTAAATCCTGTTGTATTCAGTATGATGTACTGTAGTTGCCAATAAATGTATAAAAGGTTGGGACTCTAGAGAAGAAGATAATTCACAGGTCATAGGCTACTGTATATGCAACCCCCAATACCCTATTTGAATCTATTTAGAACATCCCCTAAATCAAAACCATTTTTTCTTAAGGGGTAGGCTTATTTCATTTCTTAACCTACTCTAGAGAAGAAGATAATTCACAGGTCATAGGCTACTGTATATGCAACCCCCAATACCCTATTTGAATCTATTTAGAACATCCCCTAAATCAAAACCATTTTTTCTTAAGGGGTAGGCTTATTTCATTTCTTAACCTTCTATCCCCAGAAGTGGGAAAAACATTTCCTACTTTAGTGTTATTATGTTTCACCAATCAGTGTAAAAGGCCAATCCAATATTGGTTAACTGATGGACACAAGTATAAAGTTCTAATTCTTACAGGTTAAGACATTTAATGAAATTTAACTGGACAGTATCTGATCCCTCCAGCTCTGAGTGCCAGGACACTTCCCTACAAAGGTTTGTGTGTGAAAACTCTAAGTGTTTGTGATCCACTATTTGTAATGGTATGTATTAAAATTGGTGGCAAAATTGGTCTTTTCTTGAAAATACCACAGCCTTCAAGAACTTCTCAGTGGTCTGTTTCCCCATTTGTAGGCGGTCTTCCCTTATCCACATCCGGCCTTCTGGGCTTCAACTGCTCTAGCAGCAAGGGAAATGATGACTTGATAGCTTTGCACTTCCCCTTGTAAGAGCCTGCCTGCCTGCCTGCCTGCCTGCCTGCCTTCCCTCCCTCCCTCCCTTTTTCAACCAACCAAACATACAGTATGCTGTGAGATGTAAATGGGGAGATGCAAGCAGTTTATTCTATATCTATCTATCTATCTATCTATCTATCTATCTATCTATCTATCTATCTATCTATCTATCTATCTA